TTTTAGTCAGTTTTCTAAACAATAGTAAGATCCCGCTTCAAAAAAAGAGTTGCTCAAAGATAAATTCGCCAAAATCAGGTGAATAATCAGCGAATCATTAGAATCTTCCAAAGAACACATTAGATTTTAATCATATACTTATTTAGAATCTGGGGTCACCATTTGACCAACTGAACCAAGATGAAGAACCCAAATAATGGAATGTTTACACAAGTAAAACAATATTTAATTTAAAAGGTGCAAGCGTTTGTAGAAGACTTTCACTGGAGTGTGCCGTAGCGCCGCAGCCAACTACGTAACATCACGCAATGCGCAAAAGGGGTCACGTTGTCACAAAGGTCACGATATCGCGTCAACGAACCGTAAGTACTCCACTTTTACTGTTAACTAACTGCACGAGGACGAGAAGACACCCACGTGCACAGATCTCTTTATTTTCTTATGTGAAAACTATCATACATGCGTAGAAGTCATAGTGGGGTATGTATCTTTGTATAAGACCTAAGGTGGATGAGTGACGGTGTGAAAACAATGTGCAGAATTAAGTGGTATCATCTACAAAAGTGCACTTCTAGTAGATGCAATATTCCCCCTTTTATGAGAGGGGAGAGGTCAAATGCGAATTTTACGAAAATCACCGAAAGCAAGAAGGTCTACCGTGCAGCACCAAAATCTTTCTAATTTTGTAAATCAATACAATTTTAGAAGGAAAAGCAAATAGCTGTATATTTTCCTCCCCAGCCACCGGCATAACACAACAACCGGTTAAAAGCTTACTGCATTCATAAGATTCCAGTGAATGTGGATTCTTAGCACGGAGGTAACAAGTAACAAGTAAGGACCACCACTGCATCGCAGTTAAATCTAGAGATCAATATACTGTCAATAGACATACGAACGATGTTTATTGTTATAGCTAGAATTTTGGCAAAACAAACTATAACCGCGCCAGGCCCAGATACATCTATATTTAGCGGTAATTGAATATACCTGTCTTGATCCCGGGTAAGAATACAATCTCCACATATCGTGGGTGTTAAGGTAACCAGCTACACATAGGTATGTACTGATAGAAAACATCGAATTCCTTCAGAGATTTACACACAAGAATGGCTTACATTCGAGTGCATTAACATTGTTTAAATAATTTTAGAGACTTGCCACAATATTTTCCTCAATTTATCAATTTCTGTTAATTAGGTAGGTTGTACCTATGACTTGTATGTTTTAGTTTTATGTAGTTACAAGATTCCAGACGGAAGCTTGTGCATTACACATTGCAGCAACTGTGCTTTAGCCTTGTCAACCTGCTAACTTACAAAAAGAAGTTACGAAGTATACAAAAAATCTATTCCAACATTTATTAGGTTTCACAAAAGAAATAGGCGGTTTTTTAAATGTTGAGCATAATCATCCTAAATTTTCTGGCGAAGGAGGTACGTGAAGAATTTGGCCATCTAGCTTATCTGTTTCCGAGAATCGCTCTACAAAGCGGACGAAGCTTGCAGTTATCGAGTAGGAACCGATTGTCTGCATTCTAACGAGCGCATGACCCGACCTTTACGCAACGGACCTTGGCAGAAAGCCGGGAGCCAATGTGAAGAAAATAGGATCACTGCCGCATACATTGACTCAAGGAAACCACAATATGTGGCAAAGATTTACTTAATAACTGTACTATAAACTCCGAAAATGTGAGCTAAGCACAGTAATATGTTACTTAACTAGTTATGAACTTCCAGAAGGCCAGTCTATTTTATCATTATCAAGGCCCTAAACACCTCGGGGTGCCACAGGAAAATTAGTTAGGGGCTAGGAACAAAGATTTTGCGGACATATTAACTCGGAGTTTTTTCATCGTCATAAAAGAGCCTTCCATTAAATATCAGACGTTATTATTAATAATATTATACGCTTCATCAAATGATCTCTGTTACACCAGAATCGACTCAAGCTTGTCTATAATTTGTACATGTACAAGATCAAGCTAAAGCACTTAATTTATGGATTCTAGAAAACTATTCCAATTAACGTCTAGATTTTAAATAACGTTATTTTGAAAAACTAGTAACAACGAAACACGTCTAGCACACATTAGAAGGGCGTTGACCCACACCTACAGTTATTTATGTATTTAAAACATCGTATTGTTTGTGCCTAAGTAGGTCTGCAGTGGGCGCGACAATCCTTGAGCACTCAATGCACAATATAAAGTAAACAATCGTTCTGAAGTAAATGAGACAGATCGGAATCTTATCAATGCATTATTCCCAATAGGGAGTGTCTCGGCTTGGGCCTAGTCTTGTACTATGTAATAATATTTAATTATGTTTTAAACTGAATAGCCATCTATGTAGATAAACACGTCAATAAAATTATACGACGCAAGTATTACACTGCTCTCGTCAAGATAAAAATTCTGCATAATTATAAAATGATCAAGTCTTGCAAGTTTATAGCAAGATATTCCTAGTCGATTATATTAAAATTATGTATTGTATGTGTATGCATTATGTGCTGCTGTATCTGCTGACAGTGTCGTAGGTACATAAACAATGACACAGTTACAGAGGAGCTTGTTTTTTGTGTAAACTTACAAACACATAAATGTGATTTATATGAATGTTGTGAAATTTAAATAGCACCAACTTTTATGTGCTAAGGAAATTGGCAGTTTGTTTGTATGAGCATTTTATATCACAGAAACTGCTATGAAAATTATTATTCTTGGTATCAAAAATGGCATCTAGCTCCAAAAACACAGACAACTCTATTTTTCTAACCCTATATGTGAAGTATATCCAAAGTAACACTCAAAATACGTAATTAAATTACATATCATTATAACAACATACTTTTTGTTACTACTTCGTTTTTGAAAACAAGTTTAAACTGTCAAACACCAAGCGGTCACCGGTGACCGCGACCTATTGTTCTTTAATTGTGTCTATAAAACCGGTACTCGACGAGTTAAACAAAATGTTATACTCTGTAATGTTGGCAACAAGATATCAATAAAAAAAAAACAATAATAAGACACAGGCATCACAAAAAATAGCCTAAGAAACAGGTAAACCGGCTTGTGTGTGCTTTTTTGTATTAGAAAAAGATGTTTAAAACTATATTCAGATCAACAAGTTGTATTTAGACTTTGTGCCAAAGCTGAGGTCAAGGATAATGCTTCTAATGCTTAAATATTTTGTATAATATTCAATTTGCTTAAATACAAGTTGGATAAACCAAGTTGTATCAATGTGTGTTGTATTCTTGATGATGCAAGGTGTAAAATAATAATTCTAATTAGTTCTTATAAGTCTTTTAATGACAACACGCAATATTTTTGACAGTAAAATTGTCTGTGATTTATTTATATGTACACATATATGAGTCATCATTACTAGCATGAGTTGCGAAAAATTATTATTTTGTTCAATCAAATTGATGCAATAAAAATAATTGTTGTGTTACCTTTGACCAAATGAAATATGACTGGCAATGGTGTAACTTGTGTGACTGTGTAACTATTTGTTGATTATTTCTAGAAAAATTGCAATCTACCACTGTAAGATTGTGAAGCCAGTTGCCATCTATATTCCTAAATAATACACATTGTTATTTATACAGATAAAAACAAATCCTTGTTAATAAGAAAGAATACAATAAATAGTGAACATTCTTTTGTTGTCCATAAACAAATGCAAATTCTGTATCTGATCTCTCAAATAGACAATTTGAGACCTTGGAAGGTGACCTTAGGAGGTTCAAGGAACATTAAACATGTTATATGGCAATATGCACGGCTCAATAAACTGACAAATAAAATATCTAACAGAATAATATAAAGTATGGGTAAATGGCGGTTATAGCTTGGTATTTTCTTTGTTTATAGAATCTGGTGTGTTTAAAACAAAGTTCAATATTGTTTTAGCAAGTTTGTAGTTATTTGTTAAACAGTTTTAATTAGTTTGTATATGTTTTTTAATTAAAATACCATTTGTGGTTCTGTTCATTTCAATAAAGTATTGAAATATCAGACAGATTTTGTTATAAAATGCTTGTTTCAATAATAAATTCATTACAATAACAAATAGTGATTGCATTGGTTTACTAAAGTTATGTGGGTTATCAGCTGTTAAAAATAATTTGTTTATAGTAATCATACATGTTACAGATTCAATGAAAAGAATATTGAACTAGTACATGTTTGTCAACAAGTTATACACACAATGGAAAATCAATTGGGTAATCTAATAGGCAAATAATCTTTTTTAAAATTAATGTAGTAATCACTCACACTTGGAAATACCTTAACCTACGGAACCACATTCATTATGTATTCCTTCAACAATTGTTACAATACTGCAATAATAATTAACTAAACAAGCTCATTAATATATGCCTTCAAATCAAATTCTTTGTGCTTTATTCTGCTATTTATTTTATACAATTAAAATCAAATCGGTGACTTGTCAACTCTTAATGACTGGCAAATTACCAGATTTAGATTGTTCACACACTGTAAAACATTCTAATTGGATAAGAAAGTAACATTTTCGAATATTTAACGTTCGTCATATACAGCTCATAAAAATACAAAAACTGAAAACACAACGTATGACCAAAGTTCAACACGTAGTCGTAAGGTTAAACCCGCGCAAATAAACAATATTAATTACGTTCTAGCGCACTTAACCTCAGCCTAATATCGAATATTTACAACAAAACAATGTAGTACCTGAGTGGAGGCTCCTGTCCGCGCCCCCGGTCATGTTCACTACAGTCCGTCCAACGGTACCACTCAACGCGTCAGGCGGGCGGCACACTCCGCTCCTGGCGGCCCAGCACCACAAATCCACGCAGCAATTATAAAAAGAACCCAATTTCAATGTCACAAAGGTAACACGAGGGTAACGGGGCTCGGCGACGCAGCCGATTCGCACTGACGTTCGCGATACTCACTAACAACGCGTTCTAACCATAAATATCATAACATAATTTACCTTCTCCCTCATGGTAATCAGTTTCTCGATGTTTATGTCCTTCGACTTCAGCCATATTCAATTTATTTATTTCGAGATCTGACTGGACTGAACATAGCGACGTAAAATTTTTCCAACACGACGCAAGTTGACAACCTTGCGAAGAAAAAAAGACGTGTCATACTGTCAAAGTCAAAATAAGTCGAATTTTCAAAAATAATAAAATAACTTTAAAATTATTTTATCTTTTGTGTAACTTACTGCATAAAATTGCAATTAATATTGAATGAATTTAATTTTGAATGTTAATTGGTTTTATTGGTATTAGTGGTGTGGTAATAGTCATTCATTTCTGTTTGTTTGTTTTTAGTAATACTATTTTGCTCAACACTATTACTCACTATTCAATTTTTGTGTAGAAGAGTGATCTAGATATATATGAATTTCAAGAGAAAAATTTTGTTTTTGTTAATTTATGTAACATCATCAATCATTAATAGCCATAGAAGGGTTAACTCTTAAGTTACCATTAAGTCACACACATCAAGGACATTGAGAATACGTCCTTGACCCATGGTACTTAAAAACGGTGTTTCCACTCCCACATGGTACTAACGTAAATAAATATTTCGAAAGTCCCACGTCCCACCAGGAAATTAAAAAATTCGATGGCCGTACTTGGTATTATTCACATAAATTATATTTATGAGGAATTAAGTAATGATTTCATTTCCTAATGATCAACAATCGATTTAACGTCATCAACGTAACAATGTTGATAATTAAACTTCGGAACACGGCATTTTAATTTTCATTGCATTTTCTACGTATTTTGCGCCTCCCATGGTCTGTTAGTTGATATTGAAATTAAAAGATTACATTCTTGTTGCAAAATATTTGACAATATCGGATATAAGTCAAATCGATTTGATATAATTATTATTGTAGTACAAAACCATGTGTCTGATAGTCTGTATCAGGCACCAAATCAATTATTAATTTATTAGCTAGCTAGTTTGGTAATGCCAATTTATTTAGTACTACAAGTTATCACACATAGGCTCCTTATTTGGGATCACATATTGCTAGGTTTATATAACTTCATTGAAAATAAAACCACTGATATTTACTAACAAATGCTTTTATTTAGGAATTAAAACTATACAATTATTTAAGTATGAACTATCTATGTAATCATTATGAATTTAAGACTCCATAAGTAACTACTACTAACTACTAAGTAACTACTAAGTAGTTCACTAATGCAGTAGTTAGCCTTTAATTAATTATAGCAACATTACAATAATCTACGGATTGAGAAGAGTATACATTTATGATTTTTATTTGAATTACAATCTTATAACATGTAGTATCCTTATAGAGCTATAATTCACCTCCGACATACAATAGATTGTTAGACACGAGATAAGTTTATCTAACAATCTAACTTAATGCTAGATATCATCAGAGTTCTGCAGTGTCAGCAGGCCCTGGTATTCCATTTCCTTGTACATGATGTCCTGGTTAAGAGTATGCAGAATATCCTGGAACCTCTGCCTCAATGCCAGGTTCTCCATGCCAGCAATCTCATGCTGAGTCCTTTGTCTCCTCTGTTTCAATTCTTCAAGTTCAGCTCTCAACTGCTCAATCCTAAGTGTCATATTGTCCTTAGACATATTATCTCTCGGTTGATAATCACCATCATCCTCTGATGATAAACCACCACTTTTTGACATTCCTGATGCTGCTGGAGTAGTTGCCCTGCTGTGGCCCGGGAATGACTTTGGAGCTAGGTCTTGTGGCGATTGGAACATGTGTGACCTGAATTGAGTAGGCATTGTACTCTTTGATGGACCCTCACCATGCATGGAGTTGGTGTCAGATAGTCTGCTGTCATAAGCTGACAACCGACTGTCTTCCATCTCCACATTGATGTTATCATCCTCCAAGTCAGAATCACTGACTGCACCACCAAATATGTCCACGACATTGGAAGATTCATGGTTGGATACATCAACAGAGACAGACTCTCGCTTAGGATTACGTTCAGCTTTGGTTTTCTTCTCAGGTTTGAGATTAACAGGTGCACTCTGTTCTTGTTTGGGATGATCATCTTCCTCCTTGATCACCTCCCAGTTAACACTCACAGCCTCATTGTCGGCTCTTAGCAATCTCTTCACTTCTTTTTCAATTTCTGGTGCTTCTACATATTTCTTTTTAAGGGTTTTTCTAAATCGGCGCTTCCGCACATTCTTTGTCGGTGGTGTGATGCCGTGAGGCCATAAGAACTTTTTGTCAACTTTGTAAGGATCTTTTTTCTTATTTTTAGCTGGTGACTCTTCCTCTGTGGACGGTTGGTCAGGTTCTTCTTTACATATCATCATTTGGCATATATCTGCTGTTTTGTAGAAACTTTTGTTGTCGATCGTTTTGAGAGATTCTATGATGGTTGGTAGGTCTACGATCTTGGCGTGCATCAACCAATGATCAAATCTTACCTCGCCCGTACGCATATCGTTTTCTATTTGTATCGTCAGTCTGTTTTTTAGGTTCTCTCCAGATTTTAACACTTCTCTCAAAACTTTTGAAGGCTCTTCAGGTAAGCGCATTACAAATTGAGACTCCAACTCTGTTGGATACTCGGGTTCTCGTTTATCTCTATTCATTGTAGTTAATTTACATCAAATTTATAAAATATATTTGTTATTCAACTTACTTTAAATCAAATAAAATTCACACTAAATCAGTAATCAATAAAATCACACGAGCACGAAACTCACGAAAGCAAAAATTGTAAACACGTCCATGTCAGACCATAGAATAAAATCATGAATGAACCACAGATCCATAACACAGACAATACATAATACAATAGACAATGGAATGTATGAATGAAAACTGGTTTATGAAACTCAGTGTTGCTAGCTTAAATAAGAATAGGAGGGCTGAATAATCAGCCAAAGTGAATCTTAGTTCCCATTCTACGAAAAAAAGTGAATCATGCTTTTTATTTGTTGACATCTGTCAAATCTGTCATTTTAATTTAAAGTTGATGGTGTCAGATTTCCGCACTCATATTCCTCATTTGTTATCATTTATTTTAACTAAAATAAAACAAGAAGCTTAAACAGAAAATGCAGGTAAATCACTAACCCAAGTTTAAAATTTATTACATAAAATAAGTGTTTGATGTGTTTTTTTGGTATTAAACATGGTGTTTATTTTTAGAATCCTAATGAGGATACAGAATGGAACGATGTCCTCCGAGCCAAGGGAATCATACCTCCCAAAGAAGCGGAGATATCAGAGGACCAAATAGTTAATATGATAGAGCAGACCATCCAGCAGAAACAGGCTGAAAGTTAGTATAAACAAAGTATATAGGTTATGGTAACACCTGTTGCTAATTTTGAGAATAATATAAATTAAAACTTTGGATTTTAATGTCCATTCAATAATAATTAATTAACTAATCAATTAATGTTTATAAAGTTTGCACAAGTATTATCATTTTTTCCTTTTACTCACAACTACTCTTCAAGTTCCACTTGAGTGACAATACATACCATTTTAATAACAGTAAAGATATAAACATTTACATAACTAGTTGTAGCACAGTGCTTAATCTTAAGTTTTAAGTATTAACACTTTATAGTTACAAATACCAATGCTATTCCAGAGGACAAACAACTCTCAGAATTAGATTTAGATGGCCTGGATGAACTTGAAGACTCTGAAGATGAGGCTGTGCTGGAGGAATACAGGAGGAAACGTATTGCGGAACTGAAGAGACTGTCAGAAAAGCCTAGATTTGGTGATATTAGGGAGGTGTCGGGGCAGGACTATGTGCAGGAAGTGAACAAGGCTGGAGATGGAATTTGGGTGGTCATACATCTGTATAAACAAGGGTATGTAGACGGAAACAACATAGTATCATTATTATCTGCCTGCCAGTCCACTGTTGGAATAATGGTCTCCTCTACATGAGAGGGGTTTGTCATGTTTTTTTTTTGCCCCAATCATTTGCATTGATATAATTGTTTTATAAAATTCTATTAAATTATCTAAAAGTCACGGGTAAATAGTTTGAACCATAGAGGGGTTCTTCCTCATAAGCAGTGTGCGCGGTCACGGCAAAAACTAATAGAGCTTTTCTCAGTATATTAATGTGAGTAACCCATGACTTTTACTTAATTTAGTGTCTCACAATAGTTATTATAAAAATTCTACTATCTAAATCTGTTCAGCAGTTTCAGTGTTGAACAAATTATTTCTTATCACTCATATCTATCTTTTCCAGCATTCAGCAGTGTGCCCTAATCAACCAATATATGCGTCAGCTCGCAGCCAAGTTCCCCTACACAAAGTTCCTGAAGGCAGTGGCTCAGACGTGTATCCCTAACTTCCCTGAGAGGAACCTGCCCAGTGTGTTTGTGTACTTTGAGGGTGACATGAAGAAACAGTTCATTGGAGGAACAGAGTTGAGAGGCACGTCATTGACTGTTGAAGGTATGTAGTCAGTCATGTCTTCACACTCCATATTTTATAACCATGTAGTCTTCTACTATTCTAGTTATTGAATAACCTCTTAGGTATATAAGACACAATAGAATACATTGTCTCGCATCGATCTGTGTTTTGGTACAAGATGGGTTAAATTGGAGTAGGCGTTCACAAAATTTCACAGTATGACAGTGGTTTAATAGAAAGTTAATAGTTCTTTGTATGATCAGGAATGCGATGGAAGCTAACTGTTATAAAGTATTTAAGGTCTAAGGTTAGAAATTTTTTTTTGTGAGATACAATTAAATTGGTGTGCTTTTGTTTGTTTTAGAATTTGAATACATTCTGGGGAAAGTCGGTGCAGTGGACTCAAAAATAACAGAAGACCCCAGACCAAAGATTAAGGATAAGATGTTCACCGACCTTGGCTCTAATGACTGGTGATTATAGTGGTGATCACCATTACCAGAGAGTGAAGAGTTGGCGTCACGCTTCGGTGCGGGTTTATGTGCTTTACTTGCAAATTATTTATTTTTAATGAGTAATGAAATTATTTTTAAATAAGTACTAAAGTATTCATAAATATATCATTTTGTTTCTATGTTGTTAGAAATTATGTAAGGAACACAAAGCATAAAGAATTACTACAGAGTGAATGATTCTGTGTTCAGATACATTTAATTTTGTAGCAATTCTTATGTTAAATAGCATTTAAATATACTACAAATAATAAATAAATGTACTTACGTATAGGTATTGCATTTGATCATTATTTTCTTTTCATTTTATCACAAAAATTCTAAATATTGTAAACAGTATGTTTTACTACTGTGGATATTATTATAAAATAAAGAAAATGTTTTTAACTATTTGTTTTATTTGCATTATATTTTACAGGAAATACTTATGTCTATTTATAGTTATTATAAGTATAGTTTACATCAGAAAGTAATTCTTCAGCATTGTCTATCGAGAGTGGTCAACAATAAACAAAGCTCATTTTCTGAATGATATTAACATGGCGTAATTTCAACTTTTGCTCTTGGAAAAGTCACTGCATATTAATTATTATTTATGGTACAATACCTATTGTTGGTTACTAGTCTATGAGATGATTATTGTTCAAAGTACGAACATAATACTAAAGCATCCATACTCAAATTCATTCCCAGTACCCCTTTTTTACTAAACGAAATCCAGTCCAGTCCAGTCAGAGAAAATTTGTTATTTACTTATCTACATAGTTTTTACAAACTTGGTCATAATTCATTCATTAACAAACACATTATTATAATATTTGACATACCTATTACATGACCAAAGTGATTGTTCTGATTTTGTGTCTGAACAACGTAACTCTTATGTCGTTCACACAATGACTAAAAATGTCTTTCTTTCTTGTCTCCTATTATTGAGGTGTCTTATTGTTTTTCACACTTAGATTTTTCCTTAGTCTGGTCATACACAATACTCAAGTTAACATCCTCGATGTAAGTTAATGGTGGTGACACACTTGGCGATGCAGGGCTCCACGGGGTGCCGCGACTTGAGTCCCAGCTCGAATACTCGCATCAGTATCTTGGCGGCGTGCTCCTGCATGCCCACTAGTATATCTGGTAGTTTGTCCAGCAGTGATTGCGTCACTTCAGGCTGGTGAGAGTCCAGGCACTCCAGTACTGCTTGCAGACCTGCAGTAAGTGAAGGAGTAAGTAAATCATTGTAAAATGAGTCGCAAATTGTGTTGGTTAGTGTAAAACTTGGGAACAGTATGGCAGATTCGTAAAGTTTTGGGAAGGAAGCACATTATGTATGAAGATAAAAATTTGATTGGTGGTGAAGGGTGATGACGGAATAAAATTTTTTTGGAGATTATGAACTAAGTGTCACACATGAAATGAAATTATTAGACATAAATTGGTGTGTGTAAGTGAATGCGTAGAAGCCAGGCAGCGTACCGGGCGTGGTGTCGGTGACGGCGGGCAGTAGCTTGGCGAGCAGCGAGAGCGCGGTGTGTCGCAGCGCGGCGTGCGGCGCGGCGGCGTGCGGCGCGGCGCAGCGCAGCACGTGGCCCGCCCACACGCCGCCGCCCCACGCGCCGCCGCGACGGGAGCCCCACGCCTCGATCTCCTGGAACGGGACATAACGGGATATTTTTATTTTTTTTACTAAACTCCATGAATTTGCTGCGCAGACGCGGCGTGTTTGTTGTGTGCTGATAACGTATTCACTGCGCAGCTGTTCCACTTTGAAGATGTAAATAAATCCCTTAATGAAGATTGCTCGCCGGATCGTATCATACATACAAATTGTCACGCCTGTCTCCTATTGGCGTAGGCAGAGACAAAAGAACACCAAACGACACGATTTACCCATACCTCTTTCACTTCATCCTGCTATAAAATAATGTAATTGATTGAAAACTTGTATACATAGATATACAGACCTGCAGCATCCAGTGCAAGTTGTCTGGAGTGTCGCACCGTCGCTGCAGGGCCTGCAACGCTAGCGGGGGCGGCGCCGCCGACGCCGGGGCGCTCACCTCCGCCGCCTGCAGCGACGACAGCGCTGGGGTGTTGCTGGAGGGAGAATGAAGATAAATAATTAATAATGTTGCACTGTTCACTTAAAACAATACTATAAGGCCGAGAATCACTAATATATAGCGATATACAGTGTCTTCCGGCTGGTGATGAGGATGAGTTCGTTAATGTAATACAAGTAAGAAGGTTTCCATTTCTTCATCACTATCAAACAAAACACGCGTGTTTTCTATACATAATTTACGCAATCCTCTTAGTACTATGAAGATCCTCTCGCCTCTCCCGCCTGGATGAGGCGAGAGGAAATGTCAGACTCTTACTGACTCAAAACTACCTTGTTCGTACTCCTGCACATCGACAGGGCGACTTAACGGCAACCCGTTAAGTTCTCCGCGGCTCTGTATCGGGTATCAGTCTTATTTTGGCTCCATCCGTGGTGGTCTGATGGCTCTCTGAGGCGCGCGCGGAACGCTCGGCGCCGTACGCTCGGGTCTGTTTCTGGTCCGACAGCGGGCGAGCTACCCATGCTCGCCGTCCGCAGGCCTGTGCTTACAGTACCATAAAGAGTATCATTCCACATCAGATAGCTTGCGTCATGTACTCACGCGATAGTGTCCTTGTGTTGGTGCAGCAGGGCCCCGGCGAGCTGCGGCCTGCAGGCGAGGTAGCGGCGCAGTATGTACTCACGCGATAGTGTCCTTGTGTTGGTGCAGCAGGGCCCCGGCGAGCTGCGGCCTGCAGGCGAGGTAGCGGCGCAGTATGTACTCACGCGATAGTGTCCTTGTGTTGGTGCAGCAGGGCCCCGGCGAGCTGCGGCCTGCAGGCGAGGTAGCGGCGCAGTATGTACTCACGCGATAGTGTCCTTGTGTTGGTGCAGCAGGGCCCCGGCGAGCTGCGGCCTGCAGGCGAGGTAGCGGCGCAGTATGGCGGACACGCGGTGCAGCAGCGGGCTGGCGGCCCCGCCGGGCTGCGAGCGCGCCAGGGCCAGGAAGCACTCCAGGATGCTGTGCAGGTCTGCAGTGTTGGTGGGCGCGAACAGCTCGTGGTCGGGCAGCACCTCGAGCGCGGCCAGCACGTGCGTGTGGTAGCGCAGCTGGGGCCCGGCGCCGCGCAGCAGGGCGGCGGCTAGCCCCAGCGCGCGGGACCCCGCGCCGCCCACGCGCGCCCACAGACCTCGGACTTCTGCTTCCATGCGCCACAGTCTGCAAACATTATTTATTATTTAAGTAGTTATTTATGAATAAATATCTAGCTATTGCTATCATTTTCTTTGACTTTTTAGTTTCCAAATCGTAAATTTGAAAAAGAAAAAAATATGGATGTAAACACTACGTTCTTCTAGTAAGTATAAACATGATGACTTAAAATTTACCGGACGGATTTTATTTTATTATTAGCAGTAAGAAGTGATTATTTTTAAGGAAAGTTTAGATGGATGGATGGATATTTATTATGGTCTCCCCCCGCGCGAGTAGTAAGTTATCTCGTACTTCTGGTTGTAGTCCTTGGAGTGCGCGGCGGGCGCGGCGATGGCGGTGAGCAGGGCGTGCGACACGCGGTCGGTGGCGCTGGTGGAGCTGGCGGCCGCCCCCGCCACCGGCAGCAGCGACAGCGGCCGGCTGCGCGGGCCCGACTGCAGCACCAGCGGCAGGATCTTCGGCACCTGCAGGGGAATTGTGTTCAAATTTTTATTTAAGAAAAGCTTTTCAAGTTAACAAAAATATGACATTTTCTTTATGGGATTGGGCGGCAATGAATAAACGGATTACCTGATAATAAGTAGTCCGTGCTGCCTAAGAAACGCAGCACAAGAGGAGTTATTAATTTTTTTTTTAATAGGAATACGATAACGGATAACGTGGTTTTGTCAGGAAGAGTTTGACACGTTCGCCTAACCCAAGGCGGGAGAAGTCATTGAATGATTTCCCCCCTTAAAAAAGAGGGGTTATAACTGGGTTTTTGACCTTTTAGGGTTAAGAATTTGTAAATTTTTCTAGACCAATCTCCCATCCTCAAAACCGCAGGGGGGGTTTCGTTTTCGGTAATATCACTCATTCGGCTGGACAGAATATTTCGGTTGTATCACTCAGGTTTTCTATGAAACTCTTGTATCACTCTGGTCGAGCTGGTATAGCGGTATCGAAGCACGGTAGTCGTACTCGGACATGGTCTCCCGTCCCCGGGCCTACCTTCATGTACAGCAGCAGCAGCAGCAGCGGGTCGTGTAGCTGCGCGGCGGCCGCCACGGCCAGCAGCTGCGGCGCGCGGGCGCGGCGCGCAGCAGGAGCCGCAGGCGCGCGTCGGCCCGCCGCCGCGCCGCCTCCGCGCCGCCCTCGCGCTCCACCGCGCGGACCTCCTCCGCCACGTAGCGGACCATCACGCCCAGCTGGAACGCCATATACACATTTACACGGAATGACAATTAATCCGAACGTTAAGGGGAATGAGAAATCAAACCCATCTGCTACAATCGACGAACAAGGCAAAAAACAAAATCAACCCTGGCAAAACGATCAGGTTCCTATGAAAAGAAAAGCTGATTCTAGCCCTCAATCGGTAAAGAAATATAGCAAGTTAAACAAAACAACGTATGCAGTTACCACAGAAAACAGATTCGAAATTTTGGAGTCGGAAAATAATGACGAACCCAGTCAACAACCTAAGGAACCTAAACCGCCAAAGCCAGAACCCATATTCGTCACTGGAGTCATAGATATAACGAAACTAAAAGAACTCCTGTCCTCAATTGCAAACGCAAATACACTATAACAACTCTGAGGTCAGGACACATAGTAAAAATAATGCCTGGTGACGTAGACACTTACAAAATTATAAGAGATAATTTTATAGAAAACACGACAGAGAAGTCTCTGAATATTTAGACACACCAATGCAGATGAGTCTACCACTAAATAGTGCCAGCCCCAACGAAATATGGCGGGAGGTCTTGAAACTACAGAACGGCAAAACACCAGGCTACAACTCAATCGACGCTCAACTACTCAAGGAGCTGCCCAGAAGGGGCATTATCCACATCGCGGCCATTTTTAATTCCTATCTAAGGTTAGCTGTTTACCCGGCTCAGTGGAAAATTGCGCAAGTTGTAATGATACCCAAACCAGGCAAACCCCTCCACGAAGCAAGCTTCTACAGACCAATAAGCCTGCTCCCTGTGCTGGGTAAACTCCTTCATTTTTTCAAAAATATTGCTGAACAGGATACGCCCATATCTACCAGAAGTTATTCCTGTCCACCAGCTCGGCTTCCGAGAGCAACATGGAACCATCGAGCAGATACACCGTATTGCGGACACTATAAGTCGTGCACTAGAACACAAACAATTCTGCTCTGCCGTCTTCCTGGATATCAGTCAGGCGTTCGACAGAGTGTGGCATGAAGGACTGCTCTTCATAATTAAAAAAACTCCTACCTCACTCCTTCTATCCGATCCTTTGGTCATACCTATACGACAGGTGCTTTGAAGTGAAATTTAATAGCGAAGTCACTCAATTAAATGAAATACTTTCAGGAGTACCGCAGGGGAGTATATTGGGGCCAGTTCTGTACCTAATTTTTACCGCAGATCTTCTAACACATACTGATACCATAATTGCCACCTACGCATATGAGACAGCCTTTCTATCAGTTCACGAGGATCCTGACATAGCATCAGCTAATATACAAAACCATATCCATGAGGTAGAAAAATGGATGGATAAATGGCGTATTAGGGTCAATCAAGGGAAATCTGTTCATGTAACCTTTACCCTGAGAAGACGGACTCGTCCTCCAATAAGAATTTACAATGAGGAAGTTCCTCAGGCTGAAGATGCTAAATGCCTGGGTATGCATCTTGATAAAAGACTCACCTGGAAAAAGCATATCAGGACTAAGCGTAAACAGTTAGACATGAAGGTCAGATCGATGTACTGGTTAATAGGCCGCAAATCGAACCTCTCTAACGAAAGCAAGATAGCAAGAAAGTTTATAAGTCTATCCTCAAACCAATCTGGACATACGAAATCCAGCTGTGGGGCACTGTTAGTAGTAGCAACATAGAGAAATATCGATTCACGAGTATTTTCAATGTTGTAATTATTATTTTTTTCATTTATGTAAAATCTTTCTAACCAAATCCGCTTGACGTTTACATACTAAACTATATTACTCTAGCGGAAAAAAATAAATCATTAAACACTCTTCATTTACCTACTCATTCTTTCCACGGACATACATAGTTTCGAACAAGTAACTATACTAAAGAAACCTTAGACACGAGAGTATAATCTGACCTGCTGGTAGTTGAGCCGCAGCGTGTCGTCGGGCACGTAATGTTTGGGCGTGGTCTTGTCCCGGCCCTGCCACACGCGAGGACTCTCCACCAACGTCTCCGCGAAGTCCAGCACTGCACTCGGAGACCAGCCACTGTGGAACATTCTTGTTTAGTCTCTGGATACTTGACTAATGATACCACAACCTCACAGAAAACGGCGTAAAGCTACTGAAACGTAATGTGCAGTTGTGGGAGGGAGGGTACCGGAGGCCCAAACCACCCCCCTTCCAAGACTGGCAACGTATTTATAACTCGTCTAGTGTTGTGGGTCTACAGGTGACACCAATTGCTTTTCATCAAGCCGTCTATCTGCTCGTTTGCCAGCCTAACTAACGAAGAAAACAATGCCTAATTACTGCTACTGTATTATTTACTTACCCCTCATCTTGCAGCAGCGTGGTGAGGCAGTAGTGCAGGGTCCTCCAGGACGCTCGGTGGGCCAGCAGGGTCACCAGCAGTGGCCGCCAGGGGGCGCAGCCCGACCGGAACATTAGCTGCATCTGTACCAGTAACACATCTTAGAACTATGGTGGAAAATCAGTGATGGTCTTCGATTGGAATTGAGAAGTATGGCCCGTATCCTAATACTGTAATTGTAGTATAACTACTGATGTTTTAGTAAGAGCCAGCTGGACTAGCAGACAGTAGTTAATTATGTAGTCTACCACGGGCCAAACCATTATTCATCGTGAATCTGCTACCCATTTTTTATATCTAGGAATTCCCAGGGGACTCGCATCTATATATCATCTAGCCTACATCTAGTTCAATTTTGCACCCCCCATTAAGAAATATCGCTGCCTTTCGTCGGACCGACCTGCCGATGCCTCTGGTCGCTGGGCCCGAGAGCCTCCCTCTGCAGCTCCGACATCCAGTCCAGCAGCAGGCCGCAGCCGAGGCCGCCGCGGGAGAACACGTGCGCAGGACCCGCACTACCATCCTCGTGTTTTATCTGAAGAACAAATCATTAACTATTTAGTCATTAACTCACGAAATTAAATATAGTCTTGTTTGAGCATAAAAACTTTTTGAGAATATCGTCATCATTATGTTGGAGGCAGCTAGTATCGCGCGGCTTCTTGCGACCTTTACCTGCTATTTTTTATAACGGTCCGTGAATGAATGTCCTCACCTTGGACTCGTAGTGTCCATCCTGGCTCTTCTCGAGTATGTGTGTAATGACGTCCACAATGACGCGCGTGTCCTGGCTCGATATGATGCGGTTGCCCAGAGCTTCCAATGTACTGGGAGACGCGGCCTCCAACGCTGGAAGTATAACAGTTATGGTGTTAAAGTTTTGGTTAGAACTGATTGACGGTTCCTGATCTCCAAGTTAATACTTTCTAAGAATATTTAGATACCACTGACTAACTGTAAAGGAAAACATCGTGAAGAAACCTGGGCTTATAATATCTAATTATGAGTTTGAAATTGCCAACCCACATTGGGCAAACGTGGTGATTAATTCTCAATGTTTAAGCTTTCTCCGTGTGAAAAGAGGCATTTGGTCAGCAGTGGCTACTTATAAGCTGTCGATGATGATGTCAGTACCTGCAATGAGTTGTTGCTTGTTGGCATGGTGCGGCACGTGTATGTCGAGCTCTCGTTTGACGGTGGCGCCGCTCTGCATCATACTGCGCAGCACGTCCACCACTGGGCCCGCCAGCATCTTGCACTGCATCAGCAGGGTGTCTGCCACCTGCCGGGAGAGGGACGGGGTTACAAGTGTTATGTGACGGTGAGCTTGTATTTTTGTACTATAACTTTCACGAAACGTGAATATTTTTCGGCGTCGTCACAGTTCGTAATGGCGCGCGGCGATCAGGGTGCCAAGCACGAATAACTATCGCATTTGTAATGTCATAGTAGCGAGCGCTTTCGGCGCTGTGATTGGTTGGTTCACTGGAGCCGGCCAATCGGAGCGCCACACGCGCCCGATACTATTACGTTACGAATGCGGTAGTTATTCGTGCTTGGCACACAGTAGTTGCACGACAGGACAGTCATTGCGTCGTGTGTCGCAGAAAGTTACTCGTGAATATGAGCCCTTGGCATGGCTTAAAAATAGCCTTGTCCGTCGTGAGATAGTGATGAGGCAGGTACCTGCATGACATGCGGCGTGCGATGCGGCAGCAGGGCGCGCAGCAGCGGCGCGGCGTGCGCGGGGCGGCGCACGAGCGCGGCGGCGCCGGCCGCGCGGCCCGCCAGCGCGCGCAGCCACGCCAGCACGCCGCGGGACGCGCTGCCGCCGCCGCGCCACACGTCCGCGCTCACCAACTGGACACACATTACATAACAACATTACACATTTGTCACCACGCCTCCTCTTCTCGCCGGTATTACTTGAATGAGTTCAAATAATCTTTATTGAGCTAAAGAACTACTTTAACGCTTTCCAGAGATCCAAAATAGCGACTGCTTACATGCATCACCATAACATCACACCTTAGGCAGAGGTGCACATTACGGTACTTAATGCCACTGTACAATGTAACACCCACTTTTAACTATTTATGTTACGAGTCTCATGTAATAGGGGGCTAGATTGCCATATACCGGACACATTTCCAGACTCCGTGCTACTACTAAGATTTTTTTTTAAACCCAGTAATTCTTTGCCAGACCCAGGAATCGAACCCGAGACCTCTTGCCCAGCAGTTGCAATTCCAACCACTCGGCCAACGAAACAGTCTTGGCTGCTGAAATCAGTCTAGAACAAAAACAACATTACCGCAATAAGTTCGGAGAAAGCGGAGTCGATGTCTCCGTGGAAGCTGTTGGCGGCGAGGAACACGGTGTTGAGCAGTGGAGACACTTGGTCGGGATGTAATGGCGCCGGTACTACACAGCTACCCCACTCGTCCTCCGGCTCCATCGGTAGTTCTTCTTTCACGAATAACTTGTCGTCTGGAGCGAAACAATTGAGATATATAAATTGTGAACTTGAAACTTTACATTTTCAATGACGTGACCTAATATGACTTAATACCCGTAAGCCAGTTATTTTTTCAGTTATTTCCTTTCAGTAGATAACTTGTAAAATGCTTCAAAAAGATGTTATATGAATTGTTATGGACGTCAGCTGCAGTGCGGGTGGTGGCTTGACCAACGGCAGCCATCCAAATGTAAACTACATAAATAATTGTCGTTTCTTCACAACTAGTCAAAGAACAGAAAGAGAGAAAGAAAAAACTTTATTTCACACGCTAAAAAACAAGTAAAATGTACAGATGTGTTATTCTATTAGTAGGTGGATACATGTTCATGTCCCAAGTCTGCCATGAAGTGGGTCCAGTTCAGAATGTGCAAGACAGGACGTTGCGCTGGCATTATGCCAGCTTTTCTAAGGAGACTATTAAAATTTTGTTTTCTGTCATGAAGTGGTCAACCCTCCACGGGCACCGCAGCTGACGTTCATAATGCTTCATAATAGCATAGTCTGAAGTTTTTTTACAATATATAAACTGAGAGGAAGTTGGTAAAAATTTGACGCTGGCTTACTGGTTATAAATGCGAAATGTCTTTTGTATCTTACTTTGTGTGCATGTGTTCATCACGAATTGTTTGGTGTTTCATTATTTATATTCACTCGTTTTGCCGTTTATTTTTGAGAACAATATTAGTTAATTATGTCTCTTTAGATCATTTTACAGTATGCCGATATATCCTTGTTGCAATTTAAGATGGAGTTAGAAGACCATAAGTATTAGTTACGAGCTAAGTACGTACCAGGTGGGTATGTGAGCGGCGTGAGTCTGAGCGTGGCTGCGAAGGCATGTCCACCAGTGGCCCCCCGCGCGCGCTGCACGCCCAGCAACTGTGACATGTACCCGCGTTCCACGCCCAGGCGGGACAGGGCACCCGCTGGGCATGCGTCCAGGGCTGACAGGAGCGCACTGGGGGACAAACACACACATTAACATACAGTATACGCATTTATATAATGGATTTTAGGGTAGGTATTGCAAAGTCCTTGTCAGCAAGTGGAACCTGGTAATGTTCACCGGAAAAAGTATTTTTTAAGTATTAAAACATATTCTACAAAGAATAACTTCACGCCACTTCAGTATCATGTCATTTAAATAAAAAGTTCAGTATAATCTAAAAAAACACGACAAAATGATTCAAGACCAAACACAAAACAAATATATCATACCTCATAGCTTGCACAGGCATGCCGAAAGTCTGTATGAAGAGTGCCAGTTTAGGCGCAGGTAGAGCTCTCATGCCGGCCTCGAGCAGCGGCGGCCGCGCCGACCGCACCATGTGCAGGCGCAGCCAGTCCGGCAGCAGGCAGGCCTCCGCCCCCGACGCGGTGTACGCCGCCGGGGCTTCGCTGCCCACCCATACCGACATCAACCAGGAGTACATTTCTTGGTTTGTGTCATCTGTCCGTTAACAAATACAGTTTGAAAATAGACTTAAACTCGAAACTGCGCAGACGTCGAGCAAGAGTAGCACACCGTAAAAGCTGAACCAGCGACAAAATTGACAACCCCAAACCCTTAAAAATATTCAGTGAAAAACTCTGACATCAATTTTGAGTTCGGGTATTTAATTTAGACCGTTAGCAAATGAGGCTCGTAATACTTACACATAGAGGGTCCAATACACAGCAGTTTGACGTACGCGTGCGCCAACACCAGATGCATGCGCGCAGTACGTCCGCTCGGCCACTGCACGGACACGCGCTCGTTGAACGACCACGCCGAGCCCGCGCTAGCCTCGCATGCTGCGCCGCTACGGAGCTAGAGGGAGATACTATAGCATTAGATAACATGAGATGCGTGCGCGCAGTGCGTCCGCTCGGCCACTGCACGGACACGCGCTCGTTGAACGACCACGCCGAGCCCGCGCTAGCCTCGCATGCTGCGCCGCTACGGAGCTAGAGGGAGATACTATAGCATTAGATAACATGAGATGCGTGCGCGCAGTGCGTCCGCTCGGCCACTGCACGGACACGCGCTCGTTGAACGACCACGCCGAGCCCGCGCTAGCCTCGCATGCTGCGCCGCTACGGAGCTAGAGGGAGATACTATAGCATTAGATAACATGAGATGCGTGCGCGCAGTGCGTCCGCTCGGCCACTGCACGGACACGCGCTCGTTGAACGACCACGCCGAGCCCGCGCTAGCCTCGCATGCTGCGCCGCTACGGAGCTAGAGGGAGATACTATAGCATTAGATAACATGAGATGCGTGCGCGCAGTGCGTCCGCTCGGCCACTGCACGGACACGCGCTCGTTGAACGACCACGCCGAGCCCGCGCTAGCCTCGCATGCTGCGCCGCTACGGAGCTAGAGGGAGATACTATAGCATTAGATAACATGAGATGCGTGCGCGCAGTGCGTCCGCTCGGCCACTGCACGGACACGCGCTCGTTGAACGACCACGCCGAGCCCGCGCTAGCCTCGCATGCTGCGCCGCTACGGAGCTAGAGGGAGATACTATAGCATTAGATAACATGAGATGCGTGCGCGCAGTGCGTCCGCTCGGCCACTGCACGGACACGCGCTCGTTGAACGACCACGCCGAGCCCGCGCTAGCCTCGCATGCTGCGCCGCTACGGAGCTAGAGGGAGATACTATAGCATTAGATAACATGAGATGCGTGCGCGCAGTGCGTCCGCTCGGCCACTGCACGGACACGCGCTCGTTGAACGACCACGCCGAGCCCGCGCTAGCCTCGCATGCTGCGCCGCTACGGAGCTAGAGGGAGATACTATAGCATTAGATAACATGAGATGCGTGCGCGCAGTGCGTCCGCTCGGCCACTGCACCCGTCCTATGAAGATAACCTACATTTATAATTCGTACCTCTGCATTCTACATACCTTTTGCAGATAGTCATATAATATCTTGGTGAGTGAATACAGCGCACGATGCTGTGCGCGCTGTAACTCGTGCACGTTAGTATCGTGCGCGTCGTGCACGTCGTGCTCGGTGCGCTCGCCCGTGCCCAGTACGTTGCCCATCACCTGCGCTCGTTCCATTATCACCTGGCCCAGATCCTGGTGACAATGCGTGTGGTGATTAGTTGTAGATTAAAATGATCTTTAATTCGTGATATATAGAGTTCAAATTGGTATATTCGTGATGTATTTAAAAAAAATGTAACTTTGGACATTCTCTAATTGCTCGAAAGTGCTATGTGGAAAAAGATAAAGAAGTAGTTTGTACGCGATTATTTCGTGATTGACTGAAGCGATTCTGATGCGGTTTTCAGAAAAGTTTTTGTTTCACTTACGATAATGTTTTAGTACATTAAGTGTAGAATATGAAATGAATTGAGATGACGATAGCAATAGAGTGTATACTGACGAGCACGAGGTCGGTATGGTCGAGCGCGGGCGTGCAGGCGACGTAGTGCTGCAGGAAGGCGATGTAGGCGGCCAGATGGCGCGGCACGCACTCCACGGCGCAGGCGGTGCGCACGCGCAGCACCACGTCGTCGCGCACGGCCTCCCAGTGCGGCAGCGCCCACACCAGCTCCAGCCACTCGCTGCGCACACAGCCAGTCGTTACCGACACACTCAATACGCAGCAACAGAGCTTCATATTTTTTAAATAATGTATTCATCATTTCTTAATAATTTACAACAATACAGACTAGTAGTATTTTATGCTCTCCAGATGGTGCCAATGTAGCGTAAAATCGTTGTAATGGCCATATTATAGTTATCAATAATTTTACACTATTTAATCTCCATTAGGTGATCACTATTTGATCTCCACTGGTGTTGCGAGTGTCCATGGGCGACGCTAATCGGTTACCATCGGGTGATCCGTCTGATCGTTTGCCTCCTATTTCATAAAAAAATTAAGCTATCAGGACTTCTTGCTATAATGGCAGCATCTGTTAAGCTAAAAACGGTACCTTTTATTATGTACTAAGTAATGTAAGATTTCTCTATTATGTATGCTGTGTTTCCATCTAGTAGGACATTATCTTAATTGACTTTGTTGCCGTATTTTATATGTATGTTTGATTGTATTCAGCTTTAAAAATGAAATACTCACTCGGGACCAACGTCAGCGTTGTAATCAGTTTCAGATGTATCGTCTGAAGATTGCAGCACCAGCTTCAGACCCTACAAAAAGAATTCAAGGTAATCATCAAACATTACAATACAATGTTCAATGCGCAAAACCTGGGAATCGTTTGATCAAAATATCGAGTAGAATCAATTGAATTGTTTTTTTTTATACTTAAGTAATAGTTTTGAAAGAAGAAATCATTAAAAGTGTTGTTTTGCCTTAGTTAATCAATCATTAGTCAGTCAGTCACCCCCTAAAAAGTTGGCAATGCACTGTAATAGGGGCTACCGTTTTTTTTCGTCACCAGTTGGTGTGAGTGTAGCTTGAGGTTTGTTTGTAGTAGTGCAGCAGTATGTCTGACCCTATTGGCGGACGCCCGGGTGGGCGCGTGTGTGTGCGCGAGGCGCGTCATGTAGTAGTGCAGCAGTATGTCTGACCCTATTGGCGGACGCCCGGGTGGGCGCGTGTGTGTGCGCGAGGCGCGTCATGTAGTAGTGCAGCAGTATGTCTGACCCTATTGGCGGACGCCCGGGTGGGCGCGTGTGTGTGCGCGAGGCGCGTCATGTAGTAGTGCAGCAGTATGTCTGACCCTATTGGCGGACGCCCGGGTGGGCGCGTGTGTGTGCGCGAGGCGCGTCATGTAGTAGTGCAGCAGTATGTCTGACCCTATTGGCGGACGCCCGGGTGGGCGCGTGTGTGTGCGCGAGGCGCGTCATGTAGTAGTGCAGCAGTATGTCTGACCCTATTGGCGGACGCCCGGGTGGGCGCGTGTGTGTGCACGAGGCGCGTCATGTAGTAGTGCAGCAGTATGTCTGACCCTATTGGCGGACGCCCGGGTGGGCGCGTGTGTGTGCGCGAGGCGCGTCATGTAGTAGTGCAGCAGTATGTCTGACCCTATTGGCGGACGCCCGGGTGGGCGCGTGTGTGTGCACGAGGCGCGTCATGTAGTAGTGCAGCAGTATGTCTGACCCTATTGGCGGACGCCCGGGTGGGCGCGCGTGTGTGCGCGAGGCGCGTCATGTAGTAGTGCAGCAGTATGTCTGACCCTATTGGCGGACGCCCGGGTGGGCGCGTGTGTGTGCACGAGGCGCGTCATGTAGTAGTGCAGCAGTATGTCTGACCCTATTGGCGGACGCCCGGGTGGGCGCGTGTGTGTGCGCGAGGCGCGTCATGTAGTAGTGCAGCAGTATGTCTGACCCTATTGGCGGACGCCCGGGTGGGCGCGTGTGTGTGCACGAGGCGCGTCATGTAGTAGTGCAGCAGTATGTCTGACCCTATTGGCGGACGCCCGGGTGGGCGCGTGTGTGTGCGCGAGGCGCGTCATGTAGTAGTGCAGCAGTATGTCTGACCCTATTGGCGGACGCCCGGGTGGGCGCGTGTGTGTGCGCGAGGCGCGTCATGTAGTAGTGCAGCAGTATGTCTGACCCTATTGGCGGACGCCCGGGTGGGCGCGTGTGTGTGCGCGAGGCGCGTCATGTAGTAGTGCAGCAGTATGTCTGACCCTATTGGCGGACGCCCGGGTGGGCGCGTGTGTGTGCGCGAGGCGCGTCATGTAGTAGTGCAGCAGTATGTCTGACCCTATTGGCGGACGCCCGGGTGGGCGCGTGTGTGTGCGCGAGGCGCGTCATGTAGTAGTGCAGCAGTATGTCTGACCCTATTGGCGGACGCGCGGGTGGGCGCGTGTGTGTGCGCGAGGCGCGTCATGTAGTAGTGCAGCAGTATGTCTGACCCTATTGGCGGACGCGCGGGTGGGCGCGTGTGTGTGCGCGAGGCGCGTCATGTAGTAGTGCAGCACGGCGCGCGCGCCCGCCTCGGAGTCTGCCACGGTGCGGCGCAGGTGTCCGCACAGCTCGCCCGCCTTGCCCACCTCGCCGCCCGCGCCGCCCGCCGACAGGAACTCGCACAGGCACTGCACCGGCAGCACGCTGGCGGGACAAAGTTTTATCCAGTACGTTAAAACTATTCCTGTACTTTTCAATATACTGAGAATTTCAGACAATCTTTCGAATAACATACAAGCAAAGTACTCTTTCGTAACAAGTTTTAATAATTATTTTTAAAGAAGTCGACTTCAGTTCCCCTTTTCGTTGAAGTCGGTTAAATAGAATCTAGCACCACCAATTTTGGGGTGCGGTGCCAGAAGACCTGCCCGTGGTGCACCCTGGGTGCGGACGACAGTCTCCCTAGCAGGGGTGATAGGATTGGAGTGACACATCTGGAGGAAGAGTGCGGGTGAGCTCGGCTCGCCTGCAGTAGCGGGAGAAGGAAGCCGAAGTGGCTCCGGGACTCGTAGTAAGGCGCTGGACTCGTCCAGCGGCTTGCTGGACGAGTCCAGCACACACGGGATTCAAGTCGGAGGGAGTCGGACTCAGAGTCCGACACATCGCTGGCGGAGCGATTCAGCGTGAGCTCGGAGGGCTCACGCCGTCGCGTGACGGGGACGTGTAAAAGTCCCAGGCTGGAGGAGAACATTTTGTCCCCGTCCTCCGGCGCGCAGGAGGCGCCTCTCCCCTCCGAGGACCCGCTGGTCAGACAGGCCCCATGTGGCCCGCATTGGGCACTGAAACAGCTGAACCGGGAGCTGCTCCTGGAAGCCGCTATCGTGCAGGCCTGGGTGATACCACCGGTCAAGCCTGCCGACATTGACGATGAGACCAAGTGGCTCCAGGACGCCATGTCCAGGATTTGTGACGTGGCGATGCGCCGGATCCGATCGAGGCAACAAAAGCGCCAGATATACTGGTGGTCGCAAGAGCTGGCAGCTCTACGCAAGGCGTGCACTACTGCGCGACGCTAGTACACTAGGCACCGCAGGCGCCGTCTCCATCTTCCGAATGTGGAGGCGAGAGAGACGGAGTTGTACGAGGGATACAGGGCAGCGAAGGCCGTCCTCAAGACGGAGATATTGCGGGCCAAGGAGGAGGCCCGCCGAGAGATGCTGGGGACTCTGAACCGAGACCCGTGCCGGACATGGAAGTTTCGGGAGGTACCTGTGCCTGATGGGGCTGGAGGAAATGGAGTGTTATCACTGCGACGACCGCCCAGAGGACACGGTGGAACACCCAGTGGGGGAATGCCCTGCGTGGGCTGAGCACCGCCGTCCGGGCCTAGTGCAGGTCATGATGCGGAGCGAGGAGGACTGGGATGCTGTCTTCTCCTTTTGCGAAGCAGTTATGCTAGCTAAGGAGGAGGCGGGACGCGTGAGGCAGCGAAGCGCTGCCTCCTCGCAACCCAGCCATCGCGAAGGACACACCGGGCGTCGGGGATCGCGGGACGATCTCCGGCCACCGTAAGCCACCGTAACCGTCCGACCAGAAACAGACCCGAGACTACGGCGCGTCGCGTTCCGCGCGCGCCTCAAAGAGCCATCAGACCACCACGGATGGGGCCCAACAGGGCTGATGCCGATTCGGAGTCGCGGAGAACCTAACGGGTTACCGGGGTCCGGCTCGACGTGCAGGAGAAGGAACGGGGTAGTTTTTAGTCAGTAAGAGTCTGACTCCCTCCCGCCTCACCCAGGCGGGAGCAGTCATTCGATGATTTTCCCCCCTTACAAAGAAACTCCACCAATTTTACACATAGGTGCTTTTAGAAGCTCATACAAAAACTAACAGTAGTGCATCCCAGACACATAAACAACTATATTTTATTCTGTAATGTCAGTCTGTCTGTCTGTCTCTATTCGATAATGAAATTATTCAGACAATTCAATCGGAGAATTTGAGAAAAAATGTCATTAATTTCCTTACCTAAGTTCGAGCTGGTCGTGCCTGAGCAGTTGATGTAGCCAGGGCATGGCTCTCCTAGTTCCATGTCTCTCCACCAGGTCCAGCAGTAGCGCCGGTTGTCGACACAATAACTTGCCCAGCCTCATCTGTGAGCTCATCGCCTGCAGGGTCTCTATGATCGCTTGCGGAGGCTTCCTCGCAGGACCCAGGGGTTCCAAAGTGGTTAGCTACACGAAGAACGGATCAAAATTTGATGTTAAATTACCGAAACCATTTTAAATATGTCTAATATAACCAACACCGTGAACATGAAGGACTTAATAAACTTGGAGGACATCCAAGTCTGCATAATTATATAAAGATTTTCAAAGTATGACAGCGCAAAGGCAAACGGTTAGTGGTTAAATGAGACACAGAACTGAGACGTTGGACAGACAAGAGCGCCATGCTATCTTCTAACAGAAGTTGTAATATTTGATACCGATCTGAAATGATATCAAAACTATCATTGTAAAGGTACCTGACTGAGCAGCCTGGAGTTATGTTCATTGACCGGCATCTTGGAGTTACTGGCGGCCGCCAGGTGAGTCTCCAGCTGTAGTATGGCAGCTCGCTCCGCCTCCGCGCGCTCCGCCTCCGCCGTGGTACTGGTACTCCATTCTATACTCGGCTTGCTGCAGGGGAACAACATCGGGGCTTAAGGGGGTTTGTTCAACTAATGATGATAGGTCTTGGAATGGTCATGGGGTTACTTACTTGGTGATACACATCTCGATGAGGGCTCTGAGTGTAGGATACATGGCGGCGGCGCGCTCTGCGAACTGCTGGGGGTTATGGGCAGCCAGCATCGTCAGCAGGATCCAGCCGCGCCAGTACAGCGACGTGATGGCCAGCGCTGGAGGGGTGTAGCTGTGGGTGACACAAGTAGTAACATCGTCAGCAGGATCTAGCGCCAGCACAGCGCCATGATGACCAGCGCTGTCTGTCTGTCAATCGGTTACTACTGACTAAAGACTAAGAATATTCTGTTCCTAGTACTCACCCAGCCGGCAGTGTGATATTATCAGGTGGGTTGAACTGACACAGCTGGAAGATGTAGTCAGCTATCTCCAGCTTGTCCACCTGCAGGGGGTTCTCCTCGGCGGGCAGGGCGCATGCGCGGCGCACCAACTGCTCCACCAGCTCGAACACTTCTGCCGGTGACACCGGGATGTCCTGCGATACACGACATGTGTGGTTTGAAGAGTTAGACAATTTCCTTCTTGTTAAAAATACAGTTTAAGAGGATTTCCAACACATATTAACATATTTAGCAGATATGCTAAACAGGACATGAGCAGCAATCGGAGCTACCGTATTTTTCACCAGAGTTTTATATGATAAGCCGGTAAACGGGCAGACGGATCACCTGATGGTAAGCAATCGGCGTCGTCTATGGACACCTGGTACACCAGAGGCGTTACAAGTGCGTTACCGGCTTTTTGGGATTACCGAATACGAACATAATTATACGTAACCGATACCGAAAGAACCAACCAAAACAAACTCTAAGGCCTCTGTACAGCTTCATTTTAAACTTTAGATAGCTTTCTTTTACCCAACACCAAAACAAGAAATAAAGAAAAACGAAAATTTATAAGAAAAATAATAGAGTGAAGGTACAGCAGTGCGTCTCACCTAGTGTAGTAGAGTGTGAGAGAGACAGACGTAACTGGATGTTTCACTCACTTGGCTTACCTTGGAGAGGCCGATGAAGATGACCCGTAGTAGCGTGTTCTGAGGTAACGGAGCCTCGCAACATAACCGGTAGGTGGCGGCACGCTCCGACTCTGGGGGCCAGTTGTCCACCTTGCTATATGTTTCCGCTGGCTCCACGAACATCACCTGGCGGTAGTAGATAGTTCATTTTGTAAGTGATACAGGAAATTAGGGCTGTAGTAAATAACGGCACGGTTGGTACTGTGGCTGGGCAACCGGCTGCCGCGCAATGTGTCACGGGTTCGATTCCCGCACGGAGCAACTCTTTGTGTGATCCACAAATTGTTGTTTCGGGTCTAGGTGTCATGAGTATGGAATATTGTATGTTTGTAAATGCACACACGACACAGGAGAAAATCCTAGTGTGGGGCAACGCTTTTTTAAATAATAATAATTTGGCAGGTTTCTACTCAGTAGGGAGGCCTTAGTTTAACAGAGATCTTCCAGCTGCTGATGACGTCACGAATACGGTGGTGTCGGTGGTGGAACTGGTACCTATCTCCTTAGCTGTACTGCGGAGACAGATTCATCGACGGGAGAATGTTTCTGAGAATCTGACGTTGGTAGAGTGTAGAATTTTATCGACAGTTTTATATAGGGACATCAACACATGAATCAGAAGATACTATTAGACGGCAAAAAAAATATTAAAGCCTTTCACAACTTTTGATTTCAACAAAAGATGTATTTCTACTGACGATGATAACGAATATTACCTATTATCACCTAAAAATATTATTATACTAGCTTTTAACCGCGACTTCGTTCGCGTGAAATCCTTACTAATATTATAAATCGGAAAGTGAGTTTGTAACTACTAAACCGATTGCTTTGAATTTTTACAGACGTAAAGAAGTCCGGATTAAATAATAGGGTACTTTTTATCCCTGAAAAAATTGATATTCCCGAGGAATAACAAAAGTATTGGTATAGATGGCTCTGTGTGTATTGGTCTATGTCACATAGGCTACTTTTTATCCTTTTGTGACGCGAGCGAAGCCGTGGGTAAAAGATAGTTAGGTATTCATATTTCTTGTTTATTTATACTTTTTTGTCACGACGTGTTGATTGGCGAGGCGTATTTGAGAGCTAGTATGAAACGGAACGTTTATTGTCTACTCAAGATGGCGACTCCTGTTTGTCCGTCAGTGTCATTAAAATGAATTAATAAAATGAAATAATCTCCGTAATCCGAATTTTGCGGATATAATTATGTTGTCGACTCGAAATCGATATTTTTTTATGTTTTGTTAAATTGGCGATATTATTAATATCGATTTTATTCTACAACTTTACCTTGTTCAAAGCGAGTTGGTAGTCATGTCTGGTAGGCCGGTAGAGCGGCATGGCAGTGTCCAGTAGCCAGCCGAGGGCGGAGGCCTGGATGACACAGATCTGCTGGCGGTACTCCGGCAGGTGCTTGCTGTGGGACGCCGTCACCAGGCAGCAGCAGCAGAACAGGTCTGCCAGGGACGAGAACGCACGCTCTCGTACCTGGAACAAGTTAATTGGTGAGGAGTCGTTCTTTAATTTGAAAAATGATAATGACAAGAAATGTGGTGATATGTGATGATGATTTTTTTTATGCCTAAGCCGGTAAACTGACAGACGGATCACCTGGTGGTAAGCTATCGGCGTCGCCCATGGACACCTGGAACACAAGAGGCGTTACAAGTGCGTTACCGGCCTTTTGGGGAATTAGGAGTTTGAGGATCGTTGGGGAATCAGGAATTGGGGAAATTGGGGAAGGGGAGGGCAATCGGGCCTCCGGTAACCTCACTCACACGACGAAACACAACGCAAGCGTTGCTTCACGTCGGTTTTCTGTGAGGTCGTGGTATCACTCCGGTCGAGCCGGCCCATTCGTGCCGAAGCATGGCTTTCCCACACTTGATGACTGTGATGGACAAGTAATGATGAGTGTGATGACAATAATGTCGACAATTTAGAATCTTCGAGCTTACTTCTTGCGGCGGTTCGTGTGGCGGAGGCTGCGCCAGCGCACGCGCCAGCGGCAGTAGTGCCTGCGCGTCTGCGCGCGCTGCACGCACCACCTCGCGCGTTAACGCGCGTAGCGGACGAAGATAATCTTCTGGCCGGAGAACTAACTCCTGGAAATTAAATAATTTGCGATTAATATATAGAATATTTCATTTCTCAACACAGTAAGGTATTTTAGGTTAAGAAAATGTTTCTTCCAAACTATAAGTTTTTTACACAAAGCTACATATCAAATTACAAGAAAACCAGTTTATCTTGATCTCGCTTTGTATGACTTTTCCGTACATTCAACGGTCAAATTACACTGGTATACATAGTTTGATGTGTCGCTGTATATAATTATAATAATTACTTGGTAAGTGTCTGCCATGGCGGCGGGTACTTGTTGCGGCTGCGCCTGTATGAGCGCGGCCAGCACCGCCATGTTGTTGGGGGACCGCACGTTGGACAGCTCGTTGTAGATCGTATGCGTCACTACGCTGCGCAGGAGTGGAGGGCTGTCCGACACCATCTCTCTGGGGGAACATGGGAACAGTTTCGTTATATGCGGAAAATAATGATAAAAAACGCTTTATGCTTTCATCAAAACAGTATATAGAGTCACGTGATGTTTCACTCAGACAAATAACCAACAGCATAGTATATAGACTCTAATGCTTGATTTCACCAACTTTTCTTCAATTTAATGAAGCCCTTAGTAAGATCACTTACGACGGGAGTACCCTTACGCTAAGTTGCGTTAAGAGGTGGTTTAGTTTGGGGCTTGGTGAAAATGGTCATAAGTCTATTTTGCAGTACTTTGTGGCAAGGTAACACGAACGTCCCGCTACGTGTATCATCATACATAAGTCTCCTCACCGAAGACAGGCCTGGTAGGCCGCCTGCAGAGGTTTGGTCTTGAGCCTCATCCGCGCCAGCTGAGCCAGCACCTCGTGGTCCCTGGCCGCGGTGGGTCCGCAGGCGTCGCAGTTACAACACACGTAGGCCAACAACTCCTGCGCACAGCGCCACAGCTTGCCCGAATGCAGCCACGCTTCGAGGCGAGACGCTGATATCATACGGATCTAAGGGGAATTTGGTAACTTTAGTACATGGGGGCGATATTTGGTTCGGGCGAGTTCTAGGTAAGTATTTTTTTCAGATCTATAATAAGAAATTATCGTGGTGATACTGAGTTTTAAATGTATGTATAATTATATAAATACAGAGAACTTAGTACAGAGAAGATGATAATACGTACCTCTGGGAAGCCGCACGTGGCAGACAGTAGCTTGAGGAATCCCTTGCCGATAGCGTCGGGGGCCGCCGAGCGACGTTGGATCTGTTCCTTGATGGCTTCCAGGACGAGTGTCTCCACCGCCTCATAGCTAGTAGAATATCTGTAGCACGAATGTAAAAACATGACTAATAAGATTATTATTTTGATATTGATTTTAATTTTAATTTTGATTTTAATTTTAATTTTGATTTTGATTTTAATTTTAATTTTAATTTTAATTTTGATTTTGATTTTGATTTTGATTTTGATTTTGATTTTGATTTTGATTTTGATTTTGATTTTGATTTTGATTTTGATTTTGATTTTGATTTTAATTTTAATTTTGGCATTAGTTTTATATTCTATTGCAGCGTTTTCTTTTCCTCCAATTAATTTATTGCTAATTTATTAATGTAAATTAATGCGACTTAATTTGATTTTTTAGCCAACATCTTGTATTCTAATTTTGTATCCAATTATTGATATTTTTTTTTTTTTTTTTTTTTTTCTTAAAGAATGCGGTGCTCGCCTGTAATAGATTGTAACATTTTACTGTTATCTTAATTAAATGTTTGTTATTTAATGTAAGAATGTATACAATTGTTGGTGGGCCAATAAAGATAAATAAATAAATAAATTATTTTGTAAAAATGTCAGGACAACCTTAAAATTAAAATTTAATCTTTATAAGGTGCTTAGGTAGTCACACGGTCAGGACCTGGACTATCTAGTATTTAGAATAGTAAATGTTGAAAACTTTACAGAAGTTATCATCAGACCAATAAAAAAAACTTGAATGTTTCATTCTGAATTGACAAACGATCAACACCTTGAGTTTGTTTCTTACCTTGGAAACACCGAGTATTCTAGTTCCATATTATCTGGGTCTTCCTCCGCGTTGCCCATTAGAGGGGAGCCAGCGCCTGATGGAGACATAGTTCCTGTAAAGAAGAATAATAGAGTACATAGGTAATATCACTCACCCCCTATTACATGGGACTCATGACATAAATAGTGAAAAGTGGGTGTTACTTCTATGTGCACCTCTGCCTACCCCTTCGGGGATAAAAGGCGTGATGTTATGTTATGTTATAGGTAATATACCATCTAGTCATGTACCATCTATAAGTGATGTGTATGTGTTTGTCTTAGTAAAGTACCGATGGCTCATGACAGAGGGGAAAATCTTAGCCACAGGCCACGCTGCCTTGAACGCTTAAACATGTCGCAAGTCAGGCCAACATGGCGGCCCCAGTTCGACCCGCACGATTGTTTGACACGACAAAGCAAGCGTTGTGCCAGAATGGCCAGCGACTTTGTGTAATATTGTCTTAGTGTGAGTGGAATTGGCATAGCTTACCTATGTAGATGGCTTAAATCATACAAACACAAGAAATTATAAACTTGTAATATTTCATTAACGTGGTATCTAAACTTATTAAACAATTAGTAAACTTACCCAAGGTGTTATCAGTGGGTATTAGGTGTGATGGTGGCTGTTTGGTGCTGAACGCAGTCACCACATTCTCCACGAAGCATTTGCACCATGAACATTCCACCCAGCAACGCTCATTCAAGGCATCCTCAATGTAAACCTGAGAAGATAATGATGACAAATCATTAAAGAGATTGAAATTATAATTTTTTACATGTACGTACAATCGACTAAGTTGGTTGGTGGTTGATCACCATTAGGCGATATTTGAAATTCGTATGCACTCGGTGCTAGTGCCTAGGGATTGTTTTCAAAATGTACTTCTGTAAACTTTGCCCATAGTACAGAACAGACCTTAAAGACATAAGCTTAAATACCAAATGACTATAACGACAAACCTTAATAAATATATCAGGCCAGTTATTGCTCTCCCTGTGTCCAGCATACAGCATGTTACACGCCAGAATATACACAAGCGGATTTCCTTTGTTCTTGAACGCAGCTCCTTGTTCCCTCTTCAGTAACGTACAGAGGCTCTGCGTAACCGTCTCATGCGCAAACATGTTCGGTCTTATTTTAGTCAGGTATAGTAAACCCATGCATAGTATTGGGTCTGGTTTGGAACGCTGCGATTTGAGGAGACGTATTGAGCCTGTCAGCAGGCCTAACTGTAAAGAGAATGTAGGGTTTAAAAAGTTTTTAATTTGGATAGTATTTATAATTCTTGGAGGACTTAAAGCTTATAAAAATGGATAAAAATAACAATAGGCGTAGGTAACAATGAGCCAATTACAAGTTAAGGATTTTGTATAAATAAATTATTTTGGTGTGAGTACTAACAAGATTATAAAAACATTAATCTGAGTAAATGGAAAAGTGAAGTACTGAAACACAGACCATGTAGACAATATGATCACAGAGTAAGAGAAACAAAAAATAAATAAATATCTATTGCTACTTAAAAATTTGAGGCTTATACACATTTAAATATTTGGCCTATAGTTACATACCAGCTTGTCAGAGTTATGTGTGTCCAAAGCCTGTAAAACATTAGGCACCAGGTCCACCGGGTCTACTTCAAGAGATGTACCTCCAACTGCCTCAGCAGGTGAACCAATTCTCGCACGCTTGCTGGGCGGCTGACTGCCAAACCCTGAGGGTTCTCTTTTGCGTTCTACACCTGTATTCATTCAAATTCATAAAGTAACATATTTGTAAGTTTTGTTTGGGTTGGAGTCTCGGTTAGTGGGTATCCTTAGGTTAATAATAATAAATAGTATAGCATCGTTAGCAGAGAAATCTTAGGAACAACAAACAAAAGGCTGCATTTATCCTCAAGGAACAGATTTTTATGAAATCTCTGAAGTGGTGTTTATACATACCACTGGTAGAAGGTTTATGGATGTTTCTCTTCTCAGGGTCCCTGGAGACCACCACAGTGGACTTACTGCCCAACGCAAAGATATCTTGTGGGTGCTGTGGAGCCTTGCTTTTAGCTCCTCGACCCGCTGAAGGCATTTTTCCTCTGTCCATTCTTTAACCCAACATAAGTATAGTCCAGGTAGTTCTAGGAATTAGATATCAAAGCATTTGTAAGCAAATTTCACTTATAATCGCAGGTTTTATTTATAAAATCGTGCGGTCCAACACCGAGTTGACAACAAAATAAACTGTGACAAATGACAATGACAACCAACTTGACGTCCTTGAAGTGACAGCTCTGGTATATTTTTGTGAATTTGACATTTTAGCTTTTGCGCCAATAAAAAAATATATTATGGAGAATAACATCAAAAATTCAGTTACAATTCCATATTCACTACTTTTGATAAGATATGTCTTATATTCGTATGTAATTCAATAATTTACCACAGCATTGTTATGCGTTCTGCACACAAAAAGGCATTGTATGTTATTATCTGCGCCATAAAAAATATCTTCGTGTGATCGATTAAAAAAATCTACTGTCAAACTTGTCAAAAGGGCCAGACAAGCGAAAATACAAAAAGGTACCTTTTTTAATTAATTTCAGAGATTTTGGATAAAATTCTTAATAAATATATAATTTAGGCGTCCGTATCTCGTATTAAAAGTAATGGCTGCGAATTTTTGTGACCCAAGTTATGTAACTCTTATAAGAGGTTATGTTGGTTTCAGATGCTGACTTCCAGGCTATTGGGTGGTGTGAAGGTAGCACAGACCTCTGTGATGGTCACCAGGAACCTGGCGGCCGCGCAGAAGGCTAATGACCCAATCCAACAGTTGTTCCTCGACAAAATCCGCGAGTACAAACAGAAGAGCGCGTAAGTTGAGATAACTTTGACCTTCCAGTTAAACCAGCTTAGATAATCATTATGTAGGAGGGTAAGAAGAAAAAATGGAGTGTGATTTTCATATCATATTGTGGTCTTTACAATGTTGATAGCATGTAAACATTGAGGCTCATGTTTGGTTCACTGTATGATTATTAGAACTGATTGTAGTTATAATAAAACCTACCTCAAAGGATCCTTACAAATAATGTAAAATGTGCCCACTATGGACACATGGATGCAATATTTAAGTAAAGTGGGTATGTTAACTTTTCTACAGAGTAATGAAAGAACCGTAGGATAATTGTTGTATTTTTGATTTTCAAATTATTCATCATCAACAGCCTATAAATGCCCACTGCTGAGCAAAGCCTGTTTTCACACGGAGAAGGTTAGAGCATTAATCACCACGCTTGCTCAATGCGGGTTGGCGATTTCAAACTTATAATTAGAAATTATAAGCCGAGGTTTCCTCACTATGTTATTCCTTTACCGTTTGTCAGTGGTGTCTAAATAATCTTAGAAAGTACATATAACTCGGAAAAAGTCACATTGGTACTTGCCGTTGGTAGGTTTCGAACCCGCACCCTCATGCATGAGAAGCAGGCGTCTTATACCTCCGAGCCACCACGACTCACATTATTAAAAGCCAAATATTGTCCAGCGCTAATTGACTTTTAGCTAGCTACTTGATCTTAACCATTAACTATCATGTAATTAATATTTTTACTGGAACTAATAAGATTAAGTACTTATCCATAACAAATTTCAGTGGTGGCAAGATCGATGTCAGCCCAGCTATTGCTAAGGAAATGAAACAGGAGTTGGAGAAGCTGGAGAAGCAGTATGGCGGTGGCTCCGGAGTGGACATGACCTCATTCCCTACCTTCAAATTCGAGGAACCCAAGCTGGACCCCATCAACGAGAGCCTCGCCAAGTGAACACCTACTTGTTAACTAGTGAATGCTTTGTCATGGTATAATTATAAGTGTATAATAAAATCATTGGATTAGACAGTCTGAGTATGTGTTATTTTCTTTGAAACTCGGTTTTATTATACTTTAGTCCTTTCATGTACCTCTACAATAAATGGCAACAAAAGTCTCTCAAAGAATGTTATGAGTGATGAAAAATACTTTGTTAGTAAAACTTGACTTACATGTTGACAAGCATCTATTGATGTATTTATTAATTATCTATTTTTTATGATTACCTGTATTATACATATACACTGGTGAAGTTTAATACAGGTGTCCTAACAACTAGAAGCATGAATGCTGTAGGTTATTAATACAAATGAATCTTATACAATTAACTTATTTATAAATAAAAAAATTGATCAAAGTAAAGAAGTTCCTGTAAGTCATTGTAATTCACTAAATTAACCCATTCCAAACAGTATGAGCGCCTAGAAAAATATTCATAGCAATGTTACATACGTAAAAACATCTTGCCTTTTATATATACCTAGTGATTTTTTTTAAGGGGGGAAAGTCATCGAATGACTTCTCCCGCCTGGGTGAGGCGGGAGGCAGTGTCAGACTTTTACTGACAAAAAACCACCCCGTTCCTTCTCCTGCGTTAGGTTCTTATGGTGTTGTGGACTATACTGCCAGTGTCGATTACCTAGTGTTAAAGTGTGGTTTTAGTTTACTCTTATTTGACGCTTGTCTTGACGGCTGACTACCTATGTAATACGTACTTGTTGCCTCAATTATTACAAAGACTAATGCTTTACACCTTCTCACTTGCTTCTTGTTGCGCTCGTTATCTTGGGGTTAAGCTGGAAGAAATAATTAAGTATGTTCATTTCTTATAGAATAGCAATTGAAGGCTACGCATGGACCCACAATACTAAAGGAGTTCCATACATACAAGCGTGTGTGTTGCCGACTCTTTAGGGATTGGGGATCTAGTGAGGGAGAAGGTGAGATTTTGGTACCCATACCACAGTCTGACTTGAGGTTTTGGCTCGCAAATTAGAACACACGATAAGTACGTTTCAAATCAATTCCATAATCAATCTTTCACAGAGCGCGCTACATACAAATGATTTTATCCGTTCCGTGTATTGTCGGTATTCGGAAAAATGACAACATTTTCCAATTTATCTTGACATCGTATTTCTAATACAAATCTTATTAGACTTGAGTTATCAAAACACTTGACTTTGAGAATATTTTTATCTTGATTTTAACACACCAGGATTTTAGGTGACTAAGTACTTACTGAGAAATATTTAGCTATTTCCTTATAGATTAGTTTTCCAGGAATTATATTACCAAGAGAAATGTATAGTTACGTTTACTGCAATATGAGATTATTTATGATAAAGTCTTAAGTACTTACTTATGAATGTTCTCTCGACGCAGTAGTTAATCATGTGAAGGTGAACTGTGAACAAATTCGCGCCCATTCATTCGAGTCGAATCCTTTTGATGTTGACTCAGCAATCGTATCAAAAATAATTTTATACAAAAATACGCAGTAAACATCGAACCATATCAACCAATGAAGAGTTAGATGTGCGTTCTAAGCTTGACACTGATTGGTTTAATTTCCGTCAAACGCTTGAAATTTTCCCGCTAGTTTTGTGCGACGCTGTTTCCAGCCAGTCATATCGGAGAACCGGAGGGTTGCCGACGCATGACGCGTGTTTTCATGTGAATTTTGTCGTTATGGCGACCGGATTCGTGGGGTCTACGAAGAGTTTTCCATTTTCATTCGATGTGGATGTAGAGGATGACGAGCAGGGCAGGTCCACACCGAGGCTCAACAAGCGCATCGGTGAGTACTCACCATGTGTTGCATATATCGGCGTATAAATAATGTTTATGTTCGAATTGAAGGTTTAATTGCTCGGTTCGTGTAGTTTATGGTTTAATTACACTATTATTTGTTTTGCAATTTAATTTTGGAACTCGCTAATATGACCGTGGTTAACCTGCGGTTGTTTTTGAATCATTGATTGAATAGCAATAATTGAAACAACATTTTTTAACAATCGTCTTCTCATATTTTCTGTGTAACCTAAACTTATCTTGGCTGTAATCTAAAACTAACAGTAACATTTGCGGAGCATACCGTGGTGAATTACCTTGGCCATAACACGAGTGTCGTGTTAGCCGGTTGAAATATCACACTTGGTTTGTTTCAATTTACTTGACACTCATAATAATACTCCTCCGGTCTCCGGAACACTTCAATGCGGCAATATCTTGTTTTGTTGACGTTACCCGACCGAGTTCGGTTGCACACCGGTCAAGCACGGAGACTCGTAAACCGGGAGCTTCGTATTTTTCCCGGGTTACTCGATCGATACTCGCTCAGCTGACTCGTGTTGCGGACCATATAACTGGAACACATACTTGTATGAATGTATAGTACACATACACATAACATTCGTAGCTATGTTAAAATTTCCGTGTGACTGTACGTACTATGTAAAACAGGTAAAAACGCTGTGTAGTAACTACATCGTACCGACTCGGAGAGAAAAGTTTACAATCTCATTTATATTCGAGTCGCGAGCCAAGCAATTTACAGGATTACTTACCTATGCTTTCAGTCATTTCAGGTTGAGAAACTTGGAGACATTAAAATGTACCAATTTTTAATTTTATTTCAAGAATAGCCACTTAGCAAACCTTAGTCTTCTACAAATCTACTAACTACTTTATTAAAAGTAATTTTAAGTATACAACACTACATTTGTGCCTAATTAAAACTGAAAATCATTCTGAAGTTTACCTAGAATTTAGGACCGGCACATTCAGTCCGCTTTTGTCCATATTATTGACATGGTCGCAAATTTGAAGGGTCATTCAACATGAATGCAGGACGCTCTCAAAACTAGGACACACCCGGACCACTCAGGTGCCCAGGTGTCCTATAAACCCAATTATTATTATACTAGGTCACCTCCAGTAGTATTTGTATGATTTTTAAATTACCTGCCATTTCGCGAGCTTTCGTGTTGTTCATAAACGAAATTTTCATTTAAATTGTCCCAAATTAAGTGTAATCCACTTTTATATTTCTATTGTATTTCTGTATTTCTTCTAAGATTTTGTAGATTATAAGACAAGTGATCTGCCCGTGCCCACGCTTAATATGATCTGGTCGAAACATCACAGAGAGTTGTTGAATTATCTATCAACTTAATGAGGAAGATTGATTTTTATTTGCGCTTTGGTTTTGATACTCCACTGTTCGTAACAATGTATCACTAGCAATAGCAATGCATTTGTTTGCTGCACCAGAGAGGATCTAATTAATTAATATTGTCCATTGATTGCTGTCATTTTCAATCCTTTCACGGACACTCAGACCTTGTCTTAGACTACGCTGGGGTCCTTGAGCACACATTAATTCGGGCCATTTAGGAATGTTTCTTTTTTATCTTTACCCCAAACTAGAATTATCTCCTGTATTGTGTGTGCATTTACAATCATACAAGTTCACATACACATAATTCGAGTAATTCACCGAGGGAAGTGGAAACTATCGTTTTTTTTTCTTCTGCTTCTCTTATCTCTGATTCACTTCGTTGCGGGAACCCATGTTACTCATGTGACTCATGTCTCTGAGACGCGCCGGACTTCAGTCCTCCGGTGTTTTCATGATTGTATCTACTGTAGATCTTGGGTTACAGGAGTTGCAACTTGGGTTACTTGGTTTTGGGAGGTCGTGGTGGGCTTGTCCCATTAAAAAAATTTACATGACACCCAGACCCGAAACAACAATTTGTGGATCACACAAAGATTTGCTCCGTGCGGAAACCGAACTACACACTACACGGTGCAGGGCAGCCGGTTGTAGCGGGTTTATGTCGTAGAAATTGTCGGTCCTTCGGGACCTCCTAAGAATGGGCCCGGGCCCCGAATGCCCTTATGGTAAAGACGGAGCTGCTTGCTAACTACAATTTTATAGTACTTTGCTCAGCATCAGAACCTACAACTTCATCACCAAGAAACTACATCAGATACTTTACGAAATACAAAGGTATTTAATATTTTATCTGTCTCCATCTAGTCGCGATGGCATCCTGTTCGGCCTCTTTCATTGACAGACTGACATCTGTCTATCCAGCTGTCTATCGGTCGCTTTTAGAATTGATACTGGCTGATAAGATATCGTCGTTGTAATGGTAATGTACCATTCTAGATACGGAAATGGAGATGGAAATTGTTCTAGATACGGTTTGATGCGGGTGTAGTGTACTCAGCAATATGTATGGTACTCAGGCAATGTAATACCTATGTAGGTGCTTTCTAAAAGAGGTTATTTTATCACGCAGTTTATACATGTAAGTTGGTTGATGCCACAGGAGATTCTTTGCACTTGATTTAATACTAATCGAGCCAATTGCCATACACTCAAGCATGGACTCCAGGCTTCACGCCCTGGCACTCGCACCTCCTGATAGCCAATAAGAGAAGTCTCTCGCCATCAAACGTCAAAGTTTGGCGAGATTAGATATAAGGCCATACCTTTGTAAAATTGAAAGGAATAAATTTGTTTAAAAAAAAAAAAAGATGTAATTTACTGTGATCAGACGGCCCCCAAGATTTAATCCTTACTTCCTTACTAATATTATAAATCGGAAAGTGAGTTTGTTTGTTTGTTTGTTTGTTCCGGCTTCACGCCGTAACTACTAAACCGATTGCATTGAATTTTTGCAGACGTAAAGTTAGTAGTCTGGATTAAATAATAGGGTACTTCTTATCCCGAAAAAAATTGATATTCCCGAGGGAAAACAAAAGTATGGGTATAGATGGCGCTGTATGTATTGGTATATGTCACATAGGCTACTTTTTATCCTTATGTGACGCGAGCGAAGCCGCGGGTAAAAGCTAGTAATTAAATAAATTGTGTCTGTAAATGACATGACTGCAGAACTGCTTGCTTTAGTGTGCAGCTACTTATAAAGTACAATGGATGGCGTACACTAATGAATGTTACAGTTTAGCGCATAACATAACATCACGCTTTTTATCCCCAAGGGGTAGAGAGAGGTGCACATTACAGCACTTGCCACTTTTCCCACCCCACCCCACTTTTCACTATTTATGTTATGAGTCCCATGTAAGGTGAGCCTATTGCCACATACCGGGCACAAATCCTGACTCCGTGCTACTATTGAGATTTAAAAAAAAAACCTAGTAATGCTTTGCCCTGCCCGTGAATCGAACCCGAGACCCTTTGCCCGGCAGTCGAACTTATAACCAATCGGCCAATGAGGCACACAGTTTAGTGCCTGTACAAATTATCTGAGCAACCATATTTTTGTAGACCAGTTAGTTTTCATTCAATGGCTGAGAATAAAGCTTGACCCAATTTCGTTATTGGTACTTTATTTAGTAAACTGTAATTCTCACCATACGTCTTTGTAATTCTATGTTAATATAACACAAATTATTCTATTTGGAAGTCAGCCCTTGCAGATTGAAATGGGATAAGGCCTTACATATTAACTTATCTTATCGTTATTAGATACACATTACATAAATATGTACTTACTAGTCTAGTTCAGTTATTCACGTAACACAACATACTTGTCAACTGTCCTTTAAAAGTAAAATCGTAATTGTGAAAGATACGTATCAAAAGTACCTACCTCCGATATCAAATAGAATCTGTATCCGACAATATAGAGGTCACTTATTTACTTATTTATTTATTTTATGTACTAGTAGTAAGTTAGTAACTAGGTAAACGCATCATGAATTTCTTTTATAAAAAGGTTGGATTCCCGTACGGAGCAACTGTTTTTGTGATCCACAAATTGTTGCTTCGGGTTTGGGTGTCATGTGAAATTATAAATGTTTGTAAACGCACCCACGACATGGGATGGGAGAAAATGCTAGTGTGGGGCAACATTTATAAAATTAAAGAGGTACTAGACTCAGTATATCATTGAGAAAATATAAACAAAAATCGCACAATATCTTACCTGCATTCAATTGTCAGTATAGTTTATAATTATTGGTCTCCTAAATGATCGGGAAATTGAATTCGAAATGGCGTGCGTTGTGGTCTGCAAAGGCAATAACATTCTTTGTCATGTTTTGCCACTGAAATCCAGCATTCAAAACAAACTACATCTGTAACACATTAGTACAACTCTAATAACAGTCACAAACGAGCAGTGTCAATATCCTAAAATGACAAGTAAATAGAGACGTTGAACTTGGCCTGTGTTCCGTGTTCCGCACCGCCCACGCTACCTCTCTGATTGCGAGCTATTTCTGTCTGCAAACCATGAACCATCGTGGTTCCACTTATTTTTGATTAAATCCAGACATTTCTTTATTGGGAATCTAGGTTCATGTTGACTTACTTAGTGGAAAAACAATTTAGATGCTAGACGCAAGGTTTGTTGGCAAGGAATAAGCAGGACCACAGGCAATACAGAAACACACATGAATGACACGACAAATCACGTATTTTGCAAACAGTTTTTTTATTGGTTCGCGAGCTTACAGCATAGTGTAAATATTTATCTGATCCGAAAATGTTAGCATGCCCGAAACCTAGTGTTAAAACTTGCAAAATATTCGTTACCAAAAAGTTCTACCTCATTAGTTTACGCTCTAAAAGAATCCTAATAGAGTGATGACAAGAAACCATGCCCTAGGCTTTTACTAAAAAGAATTCAATAAGTAGATACAGTAAATAAAGATCATCAAAGTAGTATACCATATTATCAATCAGGGTATATTTAGCAGCAGGTCATGATGTGCCAAAGAACCGTGAATGTCCACTCTTCCAGCTATGCGTCATCA